TGTTCTCAAATAAAACTATATCCTAAATAATAACAATCACACAATCCTGCAAAAAATATTTAATTGGACAGTCTAGCTTTTTACCTCAGGATATGAGATCTATGTATTAAATCTACAAATTGCTTCAAAGTTACAATATCAAACCAATATCCACTTTTCCAATGCAAAATCGGTGTGAGAGTGTGAAAATTAAGTAGACATTAATGATTTCACAAGTTGTTTCAATTTTCGACCCTTCGTGGTCAAATATGTCCTTTCATCATTCGTAAGATTTACACACCCCTAAACTTATTCTTTTCACTCATTTCTTAGCGTGTGATCTAAGTTTAAATTTTTCATTACTATCTCCACCCTCTCTAGTTCAGGTGGACGTCACTGTTGCAAGTCAACACATCAATGAATACGGATTTTTCAATTATTTGATTGCTTCAACCGTCAAGACTCAACTACGTTATTATCCTTCATTGAAAATCAAATTCTCTCGAACAAGTGTTGGGACTTAACAAAGCATTTAGTATTTTTGCTTTTTCATGCAATTGCTTTTCTTTTTCTTCTTTTTCTCTTTTCTTTTTTGATTTTTTTATTATTTTTCTCATTGTCTCCCTTAAGCTTTTTAGATGATCCACGTAACAGGTTTTAGGCCAATGACTCCCAAGTCAGATGACTTTAGAGCATCAGGTTTTTAAATACCCTTACATGTTTAATAACCCGAGTCAAAAAGGCTTCAAAGAGAACAAATTTTTTTCCAAGGGCAACTTCATCTCTAATTGCTTTCTAAATGACCTATATAACGAGTTTTAGGCCGATGACTCCCAAGTTAGATGACTTTAGGACACCAAATTTTAATATACTTTTGCAGGCTTAATTGCTCGAATCATAAAGGCTTCAGAGAAAAATTTTAACTTTTAAAATATATGCCTTGATTAGTGCAATGCTCTTTATCACACACCTATTCAAGTAAATTGACCTCCAACTTAAGACTTTCACCCAATTTTATCATATTAATCTAGGACAATCCACACAAACTTTTTCACACATTGAATCCCTGTCCACATTTGTATCTTCTTACAATGGCAAAAATACCCCAAAACTGTGCTAAATTTGGTCTAAAGATAAATAATTAATATGTTTTGGATAAAGTATCTATGTTCAACTAAATCAACCTATCAAGCATATGAATCAACTTATTTTATCACAATGTCAAACTCAATTCTAGTGCATGTATAATATCAACTTTTGCGCGGTTAAGCTTCAATTAGTTTAGCATGCATCCTGTCTACAATTCATAAAATCAACACTAAATCTCAAATTTAATCATCATTGTCAGTTAAACTATCCGACCCACACAAGCACACAACAAAAAATAAACAAATAGATAAAATAATAAAATAATTTAACGATTTATTTTTAAAGAAACACACAACAACATACACAAATAAAAAAAATAAAAAAATAAAAAAAAACTCAAGTTTTTCCCACCCCCAAACTTAAACTCGACATTGTTCTCAATGTCTTAAAAAATAATTGAGAATTTAATGGGACGGGGAAGAAAAGAAAGAAGGTACTCCCCGAATTTTTTATTTTGATTTAGAAAATTTAGAGGATTTTGATTTGGAATTTATTTTTGAATAATATTCATTATTCAAATCTTTTGCTTTAAGAATAATAACTTCCATTTTGATTTCTTTCATTTGATTTTCTAGATTAGAAATTTGAGATTTCATATTCTTGATTTCAAACTTTAAATCTGGAATAGAAACATTTGAGGAGGATCCAGCTTTAAATCTATTTAATATGTTTTGCATATTAATATTTTCAGCTGGAGGATATGAACTTGAAGGAAGAAGAGAACTAAATTTCTTTAAATTTGGATTATTAATTTGACCAATAATTTCTTGAATAATTTCTTCTTATTTAGATAAAACATTTATAGTTTTGCAACCACAAAATCCTTTATCATCACTTGAAGAAGAAGAACATTGAATAGAAGTTTCTGTGTCAAAATCTTCTTCTTCCTGAAAAGATTTGTTCTAATTCTGAGTTAAATTCATTATCAGAACAACTAGAGTTAATAAGATTGAGAAGTTCAAATTTAATTTCTTCATCAATTTGAAGATTATTAATCTTTCCTTTCAAAGGATATTTATTTGAATAATGACCTATTTGTTTACATTTCCAACATGTTACATTAGTATTTTTTTTTCTTTTTGAATTATCTATAAAATTATTCTTTTGAAATTATCTTTTTTGAAATGATTTTTTCTTATAAAAATTTTTCTTTTTATTTTTTGAAGAAGGAGGAAGAATTTTCTCAAAACCATATTGTTTACAAAATGATCCCATTTCTCTACGATTTTCAGATTTTTCTGATTTCAGTTTGGCTTTGAGTTTCATATCATTACATAATTCTAATCTTGTTTTATTAATAATATTGATAATCTCACCATAATTAAGATCTTGAAAATCTCTTTCTTCATAAAGAATAGTATTTCTAACTTTCTCGGCAAAAAGCTTTGGAAGTTCAGAAATTAATTTTTCTTTCCAATAGGATTGTTGACAGTCTTCTTGTAACATAATATGAGACAAGAACATATCTTTATACCATCGAAAATCTTGAAGTTTTGAACATCTTAAATTTATTAAAATATCATTTTGAATTTGTAATAAATTAGGAGATCCAATGAAATGTTTAATAATAGTACAAGCTAAAACATTGTAACTATCATTAATTTCTTGGCCATCTTGAGTTCTAATAATATTTCTTCTATCGTCTTTTTTGACAACGTTAATTATTGAATCTCTTTCAACTTGAGATAGATAATTAATCCACCATTGATCGAGTTGTCTAGTGAAACCAATAATGATATTATTAATAGCGTTACTAACACTAATTCCTTTGCCTATGTATGTTTTGTAACACATATTCATGGCTTCAATGAGATTGATAATTTGATATTTAGTGAGATATCAAGATTCCACTCGACACTAGTTGCACCATCATAAATTTTTTTAGGTTTTGCTTTTTCTTCAAAAAGCAAATCGGGAGGTGCAAATTTTGGATAATATGTTGGAAGATTTTTTAATTTATTGATAGAATTTAAACTTTCATTTACAAATTGATTTTCAATTTCATCAATTGTATTGATATTCTTTTGATCTGATAATTTTTTTAATTGAAAAGAGAGTTATTTAAGAACATCAGATTTTGATTTTAATTTTGAAGTTTTTGCTTTTAGCTAGATAGCAAGCATAAACAAGCCCACACTCTACATCTATGTCCTGCTTGTCCAAGTTGAGGACATACATAAGGTAGCCGAAGTGATGCATCACTTCTTGCGAGATGCCACATAGATATTGACCTCCATAACTGTGGCGAGGTGCTATAACATACTGTAGAAGTGATCCATGGCAATTAACCTCTTCATTGGGAAAGACATCTCCCACTTTACCTCTTTCAAGTGATCTTTCATACAAGATCTTCATATAATTGATTGATGTGATATCTCTTTCAGCATACACTTGTCAATCTATATTTCATAGGTCAAACCTAGACTCTAGGGTGGCCACATTTCAGAAAACATTAAATGCAATTGAGCCTAGGTTTGATCGAATGACACCTTGGCATCTCAACCATTCAACCATGTGGATGAGACCATGTGTCTCTTCATCCAATGGTAGTACTTTATACTCTATTATATTGCAATGAAAGCTAACACTTAATGTCATTTGAAAATAATGCAACTACATACATTCAAGCTATACTTTTGCTCACATTACTCTATTTACATACACTTCCATATCCAAACCCATTTTTCTTAAGTGGCTAACGTCTTTAGCACGTCCCACATCCAAATATTTACTCATATATAGACTGACTTGATCATCGGAGTGTTCAGGGCTACCTCTTCCACCACTAAAGAAGACCATGTGCTCTAACAATTTGTCCAAATATGCAGCAAGACTCTACGTAGACGTAAGGGGAGTCGAGATCTGTTAACCACATCACTCCTTCAAAAATCGAGGTCAACGGCACCAAAAGATAACACAAAGACAGCATGAGGATCTATCTTGTGGCCACAGTAAGCATGTCAGTATCCAACTATTTTATAAAATATCTTTCTAGAGGGAAATTGCATAATCACATTGATACCTTGTATCTCTGATTTTGGATCAGGATTTTTATATGGATGATATGTAAGAAAAAGTTGTAAATATGCATTTCGAAGAGAGCCTTCATCATCTCCTTTATGAATCGTCCTTTGTCAATTTAAGTTATATATAACTCCCAGGAGTATCTTGATGGGGTCCAACTTAACTCCTCTCGCTTTGCAAAAAAGTATGATGACGGAAAAACGAAATAATTAAAATTTGTAACTTACAAAAGAAAGGCATAAAATGATTTGGAAGAATCACGCTTATTTTCTTAGAACAACTAGACACATATATACTACGTTTTTAGAAGCTTAGGGCTCTTTAAACTATAAACTTCGACATAGAAGCAAAACAACACCTTCTAGGAGTTAGTGAGGGTCTAATCTGGTTAAGCAAAATTTTTATTAGAAGTGTTGCAGCAATTACCCAATGGCTTTTATAAGAGACTTTCCTTGCAACACTGATGGAGTTTGCATGGTGTGCAAGAAGAAGTCATCATATGGTAAGATTCTCACATGCAGGATATTTTCACTCTACAGATTGTTACAACCCAAATTTTACTAGTCAAATATCAAATGATGAATTGTCAAATTCAAAGTCAAAGTCAAAGTCAAAAGGGACTAAAATGAAATAAATCATTCTAGGTGGGACTAAATTTATTATGAAAAATATTTTGAAGGTTTAAGTTGGACAATATAAAATTTTAGATATCTATTTATATATTGTTGGAAGTTTAGAATTTAATATTTTATTATAGAAATGTTGGAGGGCCTCTTTTGCAATTTTGAGTTAGTGGCTACTTATTATATTACAATAAACCCATTTTCAATCGTAATTCAACACACACACAAAGTAGGCAAAAACGAGAGAGGGCACAGAGAGAGAAAATGAGAAGAAAGAGGAAGGAAAAAGAAGAAGAAAGAAAAGAAGGGAAAATTTGGGTTCAAGTTCTTCAATTTATTCAAGAGGTAAGGACATAATTTTTTTTATGAAAGGATGATATTAAAGTTGCTAGGGTTTTAATTAGTTGGTTAAATTTGTGGGTTTAATTTGCATATTTAGTGAAAGGAGTATAATTTCTTGCTTAAATTACATGATGGATTAATTTCCAATTTAATTACGGTAAGTAATACCATTTTTAGCAAACCCTAGATTTTTATTTGGGATTCTTGATTATGTATTGTTAGTGGGAATGATTATATTGATGGAAAACTCACATGAAATCATGAATTTGAGAAACAAGATGAAAACTAAAATAGGTGGAATTATGGTTACTAGTATTTATTATATTGGAAGGTATAATAATTTTTATGAGTGGGATGAAGGTAAGTTTGGATGTAGTATATATTTGTGAAAGTATTTGAAAGTAGAATTAGCTCCACTTGATTAAAGGAAATTTTGGAAAAATTATTCAAGTATCGAGAAATCAAGTTTTAGTATTCGGTTATTAAATATTAAGAGCTACATAGTATGATAGTTGTTAAATTGATTATTTTGTATCACATTTCAGGTGGCGACTAAGGTATTGGAAAAGCTTATCGGCATTCATAGCCTATAGCTTGTCTTGGTGAATGGATAAAGTTTATGTTTTCAGAAATAAGTATTCATTAAATTTAAGTTACTTATTTTATAAAGTTATGTTGACAACATGATTTTCATAATAAAATGGATTTATAATCAATTGCTTTTAAAATTAAAATCAGTTCAATTACATAATTTCAATAGCATATTCTATTCGTATTACATGTTTCAGTATAACTAAAGTTATTTTCTAAAAATTGCCAAAAGGTACCCAGGTGACTTTACCCTAGTCTGCACTGGTGTAAATGTGTTCCCACAGTGTATGACCAATTATGGTGATTTTACCCACTCTCTATTGTGAATGTGTTTCCATGGTGTATGACCAGATTATCAAAGGTCTTTGGAACCCACTCTCGTACACACATAGGCTTTGGACCGTGTACTAGGGTGATTAGCTTTTGGAGCAGCTCTACGTACATATGACCAGATTATTAGATGTGAATGACTTTGCCTTGTTCATCGAGATTACTCTGTACATGAGTAAGGCTATTCACTGAGTACCTTTTTGGTTTGATTTTCAGTAATATACAACTTATCAGATTTCAGACTACAGAAATTAGCTTATTCAGTTTGTAGAGTAATGATTTCAGCTTATAATACTGTATAAGGATATTTTCACTTATATTTACTGATATCAGATTATTTATATTCATTATAATTTACAGTTTCTTATCTAGAATGAAAAACAAAGAATTTTACGATGCATTCATGTTTGGTTTTAAAAGTGTTACCAAATTTCAGAATTTTTCAAAATTTAATAGAGTAAGAATTTTCAGAAAATATGCATAAAAGAAAAAGTATATTTATTTGCAAATTATCCACTCACTGAGCTATAAGTTTATATATCTTTTCACATTTTTATTTAACAGATAGCAGCCGAGTTGAGTAGATTTGGAGCCTGTCGATCCACCAAATTGAGCCACGCGCCATAAGTTGTATGGCCTACGTTATTAGATTACACAATACATGTTTCTTGTGGGTTACATGTAGTTTAGGTCAGAAAAGGTCATCATAGGCTGACTACATATTTGATATCTTTAGTACATTTGAGGAGTTTTGGTTGTAGAGCAAAGTAAATATCGATTTGTCAGTATTTTATTTTTGAATAGTTAGTATTTTGAGATACTGGAGTATCATATTTTACATTATATGAACGGACTTGAGAAAATTGGGTGTTGATTAGGTGGTTTTAATCCATATTTTAGAGGTGACCCTATCAAAATTCTTTTAAAATATTTCACAGTCAAAGCAAGTCAACGTTGCATTGGTAGTGGGTCCGGCATTTAGCTGGAATCTACCATTGGCACACAACACGTGTCGAATCAAAGGTGATTCGGGATGGGTTGTGTCAGAAGTAGCTAATATGCTGTTTATTTGTTTCATCTTTGGCCGATGTGTAAATAAAGATGTGAGGCTTCTCAATGATATTAGATATATCCTTTATGCATACGGACATTTCATAAAAAAATTTTGCGCTTAGAGTTTCCTTGTACCTTCACATGTCCTCTGTTTTATGGAAGATTGGCCAGAAAATGCATTCTCCATGCACACCTTTCAGAAGTTAAGAGCACACGGAGTTGTAAGTGGAAGAACCAATACTTCCCAGCAGATGAGGAAGCTAAATTCTTTTAAAAGCCTTTCTTTCATAGACTCACTTCATTTATGGCGTCTTGCTCTCTTCTTCTCTTACACATCGTGGTAAAAGTCTATTTCTTTTCCACTTTTAGTAGAGACTTTTTTCAAATCCAAAGAAATTCCGGGGCATAACTCTTTTATCTTTCACTAATATTAGTATATTTCCTCAACAACGCACAGCTCTCTTGTGCAATCACCGTGGTTTCTCTTAACTTAATTTCTCAATCTCCATTCATTAGTAAGGTTGCAGAAATCACCCAATGGCTCACATCAACAACCTCCTATGAGACGTCAATGGAGTTTGCATGTTGTGCTAAAATAAATCAATAGATGGTGAGACTCTCATGTGCAAGACGTGTGTCATTCCCCTAGCTTTGATACCATATTAAGAATAAGTTCAGCATTTTTATAAGCAATTGCTCAAGTCCTGTATGTTATTTATTTGTCTTTAATTGATGCACAATTAAATACCTGAGGTTTTTGAAGGACATGAGACATTATTTGTGCACGATGGGAATTTCATAATATTCTTTTGTGCTGAATTGTCCTAGTATCTCCACAAGTTTGTTTAAAGAGATTGTCCAGCAAAGGACTATCTATGCTCATCTTGCAGAAATTATGAGCCATGGATTTGTAAATAGAAGAACCATCACTTAGTTCTTTCAAAAGCATTCCTTTCACGGGCTCGTTTTGTTTTTGGTGTCTTGCTCTCTTTGTGCTCTTACCTTCATCTTCATAAAATATCTGGTACTGGTGGAGGCTTTTCTCCAATTCCAATGACTCCTTTCAATAAAATTCGTAGCATGCTTTATTCCTCATCAATAGGCAGTTCTCTTGGGCAATCACAATGATTTAATTTTACTTTTTTTCTCAGTTAGTTGGGGTGCAGCAATCACCCAATGGCCCATGTAAGCAATCTCCCTTGCAATACCGGTGAAATCCACATGGTGTTCAAGGACAAGTCAATAGAATGGCGAGAAGCATGGTGTTCGAGAACAAGTCAATAGAATGACAAGACATGTGCAAATCGTATGTCACTCAATGGGTATTGAAACCATATTAAGAATTTGGATTTCATATTAAAACATCGACCTTTTCAAGAGAGGTAGTCCAAGCATTTATATGTTGTTTGTTTCATCTTTTATCGATGTGTCCTATTATCACATAACAATATTAAGTCATTGCACCTCAAGACGGATTGATATATTTTCTCCTTTGGAGCACTAACAGTCCTAATGAGGTTGCTTATCATGCCACACAATAACCCTCCTTAGGCACTCTAGAACACTTCCAACATGCTACTCGATCGGCATCTCTAATTTTTTTTATGTATTTATAAATTTATTAATTCAAGGACACTTAATAGGTAGACGTCGTGCACATATTCAACAAGCTTCATGGTGTGCCATAAATTGTTCATATTTTAGATAGTGATACGACACGAACCATCTTGATACATCAATATTATGCACCGGTCCATTTTGTAAGTATGCAATTGAAAATTATCTAAATAATATATAATTTTACCAAAAATTATCTTAATGAAACAAATAATTTCCTGAGCTAAAGTCGAAGCAAAAAAAGAAGTTTACTCTTTTAACTGAAAGAAACATACCAAAATAAATGAAGTTAAAGAAATTGTATCGAGGTGTCCCAACATGTCGATGTCCTGCTTTTATAAATATCAAGTGTCGACATGTCCGTTTTGTGTCATTTGTCCATGTACATGTCCTACTTCATCAGTGTCATTTCTTAATAACGTTCAAAGAGCTCCAGTTACACCACCTTTTACCAACACCGGAGAGGAAATGTATATCTAGAACTTCTCAAATATCTTCTTATGTTGCAGAGAGAATTCCCATATTAAGAAAATTCAATTCTTACAACCCAATCTCCCATTAAGTGATAATTTCTTGCTTATTGTCTTTCTTTATTGTAATTTTTGTCATTCTAAATTTCTGGTTTGTTGGCTCTTATCTGAATATACAGGTATCTATGAATTTTAGAACAAGTTCTACAGTGAATTTCTTTTTTTCTTTCAGCATTTTTTGTGAATTTAGTTCACTCATTGGTTTAATGAACAAATCATCTAACGAACTAGAAGTGTGACATACTCGTTCTAGGCTTAGATTATTTATGTGTCCCCTTAACAAGATGTGAGAAAGAACTTTGTGAAGCATTAACCTATCCGATTGTGGAAGTCAAAGTTGACTGTTGTTTGTTTTTTTTACACATAATATACAATTTAGAATTATTCTACAGAAATTCAAATTGACATATAGATATACGCATCTGTCAAACTACATATACAAATTTTCTCTACATGTAGCAAAGCTCTAAATAATTGGCATTTAAGATTCAGTTATGCTATGTGTACAGAAAAAAGTGCTGCCAAAATTGCTACACAACACACTTGACAGTTTTCTATTGGACAATGGCTAAGAAAAAAAAAAGGACAGACAGATGCTGCCAGTAGCATCTGAAAAGATTCTGGTAGCAATGCCTCTGTACAAGGGGAATTGCGATTTCAGATTAAATTGTGGATTGAAGCATAATAATGTGCAATTTGTGTGCGCCAGAATTTATTTTTGCCATGTGCAATTGTTGCGCTTCAAATTGGTCTTGGGGATTGAAACATTCCACCTACAACATAACGGTTCATTGGATTTTTTCCACCCATAATAGCTACATAAACTGTATAGAATAAAAGATAAATCCATACAACTGCATAAAATTTGACGCTGGTTAGAATTTTATCCCAAATGTCAAGCTCCTCTATTCCTTTTTAGCAATTCTTCTATCAAACATTTTAAGGTTTTTTATGTATTAAAATAATGTTTAGTTCTAGGAAAATTCTTGAGATACTGTAAGCAATCTCCCTTGCAATACCGGTGAAATCCACATGGTGTTCAAGGACAAGTCAATAGAATGGCGAGAAGCATGGTGTTCGAGAACAAGTCAATAGAATGACAAGACATGTGCAAATCGTATGTCACTCAATGGGTATTGAAACCATATTAAGAATTTGGATTTCATATTAAAACATCGACCTTTTCAAGAGAGGTAGTCCAAGCATTTATATGTTGTTTGTTTCATCTTTTATCGATGTGTCCTATTATCACATAACAATATTAAGTCATTGCACCTCAAGACGGATTTTCTCCTTTGGAGCACTAACAGTCCTAATGAGGTTGCTTATCATGCCACACAATAACCCTCCTTAGGCACTCTAGAACACTTCCAACATGCTACTCGATCGGCATCTCTAATTTTTTTTATGTATTTATAAATTTATTAATTCAAGGACACTTAATAGGTAGACGTCGTGCACATATTCAACAAGCTTCATGGTGTGCCATAAATTGTTCATATTTTAGATAGTGATACGACACGAACCATCTTGATACATCAATATTATGCACCGGTCCATTTTGTAAGTATGCAATTGAAAATTATCTAAATAATATATAATTTAACCAAAAATTATCTTAATGAAACAAATAATTTCCTGAGCTAAAGTCGAAGCAAAAAAGAAGCTTACTCTTTTAACTGAAAGAAACATACCAAAATAAATGAAGTTAAAGAATTTGTATCGAGGTGTCCCAACATGTCGATGTCCTGCTTTTATAAATATCAAGTGTCGACATATCCGTTTTGTGTCATTTGTCCATGTACATGTCCTACTTCATCAGTTTCATTTCTTAATAACGTTCAAAGAGCTCCAGTTACACCACCTTTTACCAACACCGGAGAGGAAATGTATATCTAGAACTTCTCAAATATCTTCTTATGTTGCAAAGAGAATTCCCATATTAAGAAAATTCAATTCTTACTACCCAATCTCCCATTAAGTGATAATTTCTTGCTTATTGTCTTTCTTTATTGTAATTTTTGTCATTCTAAATTTCTGGTTTGTTGGCTCTTATCTGAATATACAGGTATCTATGAATTTTAGTACAAGTTCTACAGTGAATTTCCTTTTTTCTTTCAGCATTTTTTGTTTGTGTTTAACACTTAATATACAACTTAGAATTATTCTACAGAAATTCAAATTGACATATAGATATAAGCATCTGTCAAACTACATATACAAATTTTCTATACATGTAGCAAAGCTCTAAATAATTGGCATTTAAGATTCAGTTATGCTATGTGTACAGAAAAAAGTGCTGCCAAAATTGCTACAAAACACACTTGACAGTTTTCTATTGGACAATGGCTAAAAAAAAAAAAAAAAAAGACAGACAGATGCTGCCAGTAGCATCTGAAAAGATTCTGGTAGCAATGCCTCTGTACAAGGGGAATTGCGATTTCAGATTAAATTGTGGATTGAAGCATAATAATGTGCAATTTGTGTGCGCCAGAGTTTATTTTTGCTATGTGCAATTGTTGCGCTTCAAATTGGTCTTGGGGATTGAAACATTCCACCTACAACATAACGGTTCATTGGATTTTTTCCACCCATAATATCTACATAAACTGTATAGAATAAAAGATAAATCCATACAACTGCATAAAATTTGACGCTGGTTAGAATTTTAACCCAAATGTCAAGCTCCTCTATTCCTTTTTAGCAATTCTTCTATCAAACATTTTAAGGTTTTCTATGTATTGAAATAATGTTTAGTTCTAGGAAAATTCTTCAGATAACGGTGCTCGAAAAAGCTGTGAAGAGCAATGTTTCATCACTTTTTTGCATCACATTTACATTGTGGCTCTATCGGTATTCTCTCCTCCCTCTTCTTATCTCCATTGATCTTGGAGCATTTTATGTGTCTCCCTGTTTACTGTTGTTTGGATTCTTTTAATTCTCCCATTCGATAAAAATGCCTCAAATATATTGATAACCCACCAGTTTTCTCACTTCAAAGTATTAGTAGCCTTGAAGAAATCCTCCCCTTTCATATATCTGAGAATTTTATTTAAGGTTTTCGAAGAGCTTTAAGCCAAGCATATTTGTTCACTAATTGTATTCAGATTTTTACAAAACAAACATCTGATGCTTTGCTTTTATATTGCTTACAGGTAAAATTCTGGGCAAAGGTTGGTTCATGGATATTTACTTGGGATTCTTTAATTCGCATTTCTTTCTTTCTCTCGTGTATTTTTTTATTTCATCTACTTTTCTCATTAGCAAGGTTATAGATTCACGTTAAACCCGAATTCTTGTGTTCATTTCTGTTCAAACCGGTGTCAATGCTGGACAATAATTGATATCAACATGTGTTGTCAGTTTTTTTGTGAATAACAAGGAAGGTCTTATATACCTCATGAAATGTTACTATTTAAACAAAATAGTAGTCCATGTACTTTTGTCGTTGTTTTATTTCGAACTAATTGTATTCAGATTTTTACAAAACAAACATCTGATGCTTTGCTTTTATATTGCTTACAGGTAAAATTCTGGGCAAAGGTTGATTCATGGAGATTTACTAGAGTAGGGATTCTTTAATTCGTGTCTTTCTTTTTCTCGTGTATTTTTTTATTTCATCTACTTTTCTCATTAGCAAGGTTATAGATTTGTGTTAAACCCGAATTCTTGCGTTCATTTCTGTTCAAAACCGGTGTCAATGCTGGACAATAATTGATATCAACATGTGTTGTCAATTTTTTTGTGAATAACAAGGAAGGTCTTGTATACCTCATGAAATGTTACTATTTAAACAAAATAGTAGTCCATGTACTTTTGTCGTTGTTTTATTTCGATGTCATTATTTCATTGTACAACAAAAAACTTCCTTTGCTATCTTGTTGAATTTACGACATAATCTCGTTTAATAGCAATTAATTTTGCAAAAATATATTAAAATCGCTAGAAAATTAAAATAAAAGCTAGGGTTTACTAAAAAATCATTTTGGATGAAATCTTTCATGAATTAATTAGTTTATAATCTATTTTTGAGTTCTTGAAGGGAGGAAAATTACATTTGGGATGACCATAGATACTAGCCATGGAAGAAGTGGTGTGAATTTATTTTATTGCTAGAATCTTTTCCAGGCCTTTCAGGTCATAAGATAAACTCCTACAAGCACGTTTGTCCTCAAAAAGTTCACTCTTCTCATATATACATATTAACTCATTTACTGTGTGAGAGTCTTAGTCCAAAATAAATGTTTTCTGAATTTCAATTTAATCTTATAAAATCTGATCCATTTGATTTTATTTGTTCTTGTACCTTTTTTAACATGAAAAATATTTAAACATAAAGGAATTTAGCTTCATTATTATTTTTGTAGTCGACTGATATATGCTTCTCATCTCTCTCTGTATGTTCCAAGAAAAACATTATGTTATCAAACACATATGTAAGTGAAATGCATGAAAGAAACTTGGAGAAGTTCAAGAACTCAATCAATTATTGGAGGACTTAAGCTGAAAAATGGAGGTGGCAAAGGTTCCCGTGTGCCTTCGGGCCCTGTGCACGTGCACCAGGTGCCTGACGAGCATGTGTGGATGCTTGGGCTACCCAGTGCGCATATCCCAACGCACATGCGCCGTGCATTTCAGGGGCAAAATTGCCTTGCATTTTGTAATTTGAGGGTTCTTTTGGAGACATTTTGGGACTTTTCTAGTACACATTTTTAGGGTATTTAAATACCAAATTTTAGATAATGAGCCCCCATTCCTTATTCCTTCCATTTTATAGCATTCACTCTATTCTTTAGGGCAAGAACTAGGGCGGCACAAAAGCAAGAAGTGAAAGAGAAAAATCAAGCAAAAGTGGAGAGATTTTGGGAAAGTCTTGACCAAGCCATTGCCATGAATCCAACCAAAAGACGAGTTTTATCATTAGTCTTTTATTTTATACTTTCTTTTCTCTAATTTGTAATGTATTTCTCTAACTCTTCTCGTTTTATCATTTATATAAAATGAGCAAAATTCTTAATATTGGGATGATTGATGTAGCTTAACCTACTTTACTATTTCAACATTTTCTTTTCAATATTAAGTTACTCAATTTTATATGTATTTACTATTGTATTTAATGCACCTCATTTATCTGGCCATTAAATGAATGTGTTGAGTGATTTATACAATATTTGAGAAATTATTGTGCATTTTAAATAGTAAATGCCCTAAGTTCTTGTAGTTGATAGAGATAAACTCCTAATCCTAGGTGACCCATTAATTATTTTCACAAAGATTTAATGAAATTTGTTGAATTTTAATCAACATGGAGATATAGTATATTGAATCAATTGATTGGGGCTAATTTTACTCGAAAGAGATAATTAGTTAAAATAGAAAGAAAATTGGGTTTAACATATTTAATAGGTATTTTGTTAAATTGCTTGTTGAGAAATTGACTAGGTGAAGAATAAATAAAATCATGAATCCCTTCTATCTCAACATTCACATTTCATTTAATTTCTAGATTTGTTCTTTTCACTATTTTAGTAGAGTTTTTAGTTATTTTGGTTATTTTCAAATTCCAATTTAATTGTGTGCATTTCATTGTTAAAATTAAATTAACTTTAGTGTAATCGACAACTCACTCATTAGTCAACTTTATTACTTGTACATGATTCGTGTACTTGCTGTACACACCTTTTAGCGAACAAATTTTTGGCGTCATTGTCGGGTGATGTATTTATTTTGATTACTACTTTAGTTAATTTTGGTTTTAACAAATTATTTATTTATTTTTTGTTTGTACTCTGACTACCCACCACAATTTTGATAGCTCTTGTATTTGGTATTCTTTTCATGTACTTTTTAGTTGTATATGCATGATTTTAATAATGGTAAAGAAGCAAAGCTTTTGCAATAAGTAATCTCTACATCGACAATGAAGATATACTAGGCAATGCTTGTACTTGTGCATTGATTCATTCACGTTTGAACTTCTTTGGTTTAGACAATATTTGAAATGTTGGAAATAAGTACTAAACATATTTGATGAGAGATACTGCTCGTGGGAGATTATGATCCTTGTGGGAGATAGTCCTCCCTTGTTGAATGAAATGGTATTTGCAAAATACTATAATGAACTTATCAAGTTGGATAAAAGCAACATGCCTATGGAAAATGCCACTTACTGGAACAAATTTAAAAGATAGGGATATAATTCACTTGAAAGATTTGAAGGGACATACTTCTAAGTGCTCATGAATTTAGATTGCGGACTGATCATTTATGATTTACCCGAGGAGATTTCAACTATTGAAGAAGGGCTTAAAAAGAATGAATCACAGAGAAACCGAATGAAGATGTGGCAATTAATAAGGATGGAATTAACATAAATTCTTTTGACTTCATAATATGCCCAAAAAATGATTTTGCAATTAAGCTCGACGAGAAGGTGGTAGTCTAAATAGTTGAATTTGAATTGGAAGAAATTGACGATTACATTGAAAGTGGCAATGTAGAGTTTTGGAAAATAAATGAAAAGTGAAGTAAAGTCAATAGAAAAAAACTAAGCAAAGCATCTAAAGCTTTCTTTAGATGTCCATGATCCAATTTGTCAAAGTTGAGCTAAAGACTTTTTGAAAGAGCTTATTGAGAGGCAAATCATTTTTCTTACTCTTAACCCTTTCATTTTCTAATTTTTCTGATATTATTTGATTAGATATCATTTCTTGTAGGTAATTTTTGTAGTCCTAGGTTGATCATGGCTCTCAACAAGTTTAAGAGTTCATTTGAACTATGTTGGTCACACTTGCCAATTTTGATTTTACCCCATAATTTACTCCTTCTGATATTGAGGGATCCCACGAGTTATTCCATGAGATGCTTGTTGAAGAAAATGATTTGAAACTAAATCGAGGCTTAATCAAAAATTTGGGGATGAAATATCCAAGAACATCACAAGTCCAATTCGATCATAAGCATTTCTTCACCAATCGCCCAACCAAGAATGTTTCATTATCCTCCTCTTCTCTTTTATTTTGTTCATTTCCACATTAAGGACAATCTTTAATTCAAGTTTGGGGATAATTATTTTTTTGTTTTTTATTTTTTATCTTAATTTTGGTTGACATGTTATATAGGCTTGCCGGTTAATAATGATTTGATGTTAAAAATTGTTACCTTGTTAGTGATTGATAAAACATGATCAAATATGCTACTTGTGCCTTTTTTTTTTCTTTTTAAAAAAAAAAGTTGCTTATCTATATAAGATCCTAAGTTATTTTTAGCATAATAATCATGATCAATTGTTATCTAGGTACGAAAATTTTTTATTGATGGAAAGAGTTTTGAATTGATAAAACTAGATTGTGAGTTGTGTATAATTTTCTATCAACCTACATTCTCTATAACTTCACCCTATTGTGAGATTAGTTTGGGGAGTAGTCGAGCTAGTAAAGGAGATGAGTTGAAAATGTATTGATTTTATGCATGTTGAATATATTTGCGCGGACCGTCTTGGACTAAGATGTATAAACTAGATAATGACCATATGTTAGGAATCTAATCTTTGTTTATTTACCTTTCTCAAGAAGGCAATTGCACTCGTTAAATCCTATAACTCACTTTGTAATCTTTTTTACTCGAGTTATTAACCGTAGGGGTATCTTGAAATCCAGTATCTTTTGATCTTTAAAAATTGGGGAGTATTGACCTAAAGCTCACTATATGTGTCATGAAGAACGTTTAAGGGAATGATATCAATCATGAGCTTCATTGGGTAAAAAGTTAGCAAGCGATAATTCTTTGTAATCGAAATTGAGGAATTAGATGATTTGTTGGTTTGAATTACTTATTATAAGCTTAAATGTTGAAGTACTCAATTTGGTGAGAATCATCACATACTAAATTTTTAACATTGTCAATTAAACCCAACTGAATTAGAGCGGTAAAAGATACGAGTGATTTGAGAACTATGGATTAACATTTCGAGAAAGAAAATAAATATCTATTTGGGGGGAAAGAAAGAAATGACCACTAAGGATCGAGCTGACAAAATTTTGGAATTTTTCGATCTCCACAACTTTTATCAAGTCTAGGTATTAATTGAAAATGATTATGCACACACGTCGATCAAACATTGAATGAGTTCAATTTATTTTTGGTAGCATTATTTGGGGGAATATTTGTAAATTGATTATACAATTCTACACAAGGATATTTTGACAATCTATGTAACATTGTTGACATTATATTCCATTTTGTTTGATTGTGCTAATAGATAATCTTGCTTGGGATGAGCAAGAGCTTAAATTTGAAGGTGTTTGATAAGTGTTTTGACACACTTATTAAGCACCTAAAATTAGCTAATTATTTATGAAATGAGATATTTCTACTAACAATTTCGCAATGTTGGTCTTTTTAGGCAAGAATCCCAAATTGAAGGATCGAGGCAAAAGGGAGAGAAAAGGGACTAACTGCATTAAGTTAAGAAGGTGGGCCTTGGTCTGGAAAGAATTGTGGGAGTCCCAGCAAGTGGAGGGTTCGAAGAAGAGGTATAAGGATTTTTCTGCGCCCCATTTTGAAAACAAACTATAAATGGGTTTACCTACCCAGCCGAATATCCTCAACCAGCCTTTATTAACAAACCCTCGAGCCTCCTTTGCGTCGCCTTCCTCATAGAGGCCTTTCAGGTGATCGTTTTTTGGTTCGCATTGGGTTTACCGAGGCGTAAGAACTCACCCAGATCCAGTAGTTGCTCCTAATTGCAGTTGATATGCTTCCAAGCACC